GGAGAGTTCCCCAGGCTGCTGGAGCGGGTCAGCGAGTGCGACTGGTTGAAAGGCCAGGGTGGCTCCACCTCCTCCTTCAGGACTGAAGGGAGATGTTCAGGATCAGCCCCTCCGGCCCTGCTCCAGGCACCTCTCCTCTAGGAGTGGCCCAGTGACGAGGGTGCTTGTCAGGGACACGGCAGAGGCAGGTTCTGTTCCTGGCTCTTGCCCCGGCTCCCTGAATAACCCTCCCTGGGCTTCCGCTTCCCCATTTGGAAAAGGGGGATAATTCCTCCCGGGGCTACTATGAAGTGCTCAGATCCTATGGTGACGGGAGCCAGATGAGATCGATAGACCATAATACACACAGTACAGTCCATCTGCCCCTGCAGTGTGGTGGCAGTAGTGGGATGAACTCCTCCAGCTGGCAACGGGGGAGTTTGTTCCATTCTCACTGAAAAAAAGGGGGGGGGGGAATCTATCTTTCTCCAAACAGAGATAAGGTGGGTTCCCCTGCAACAGTGAATGGAAAAGCTTCTGGAGAGGACAGTGTGGCTGACCACTAATTGGTGGGTGCGGTGGGATCATTGTGCATGGCACTAAAGGAACCCTCAGGGGTGTGCACTGGATGAAGTAGGCAGAGGGGGATGCAGAAAGGGAGGGGACAGTGAAGAAGTTGGGGGGGCAGGAGAGAGTGCACTTATTCTAGGGCCTCCCATTCCAGGCAAAGCAAATGGGGGGCAGAGAGAGGACACACTAAAAAAATAGACATACCAGCAGCCTCATCCCAGGAGACCCCTGTCTCGGCTCTGCTGAGTCCAGGCGCCCATGTGGATCAGTCAGTCAGGCAGCCTCAATAAGAGAACTCTGCTTGATGTTTATTACAACCAAGCGCTGCCTCTTCTCAGCCCCTCGGGGCACCGCCCCGAGCATGGGATTTTGTTTGGGAATGGAGGGGCACGGCAGACACCTGAGCCAGCCAGTCCTCCATCCGTGGACTAGATCAGAGCCCTTATCCCATCTCCCTCAGCCAGCCAGACCCTCCCACGCCGGGGCCAGATCAGAGCTGACACCTCCTAGAGGAGAACAGCTCAGTTTCTCATTCCTCATCCTGAGACAACCGGTCTCATCCATAGATGAGATGAGACCCAGTCTCCCCCTCCCCCTTCCCCCCGAGGAGAAAGGTCCTCTGCCCCATTCCTCCAGGCTGGATCGGCGCAAGGGGTCTCTTACACTCTCGATCTGTTAGAGAGTAGGGTTTGATCTCCTCCTCGGAACGTTTAGGAGGCAACTTCCTCACCGGAGCTGCAGGGAGAGGGGGAGAAAGGTCAGTCCTAGAAAGGCAGAAGCCACCCCAGAGCCGAAGGTACCAAATCCACCCTGGCGGCTCACACTGGGGTCACCACCAGCAGCTTCAGGGCACGCAGGACCAGGCTATGATCCCTCCTGGCCTAGCTCTGATTGCCAGCTCTTTGGGGCAGGGCCTATCGCTTTGGTCTGTGCCACACACATGTCCCAGGGGCCTGGTCAATGTCACCATGGCAGATTGCATTGTACTGCCTCTCCCATCACACAAGTCCACAGGGGTGCGCGTTTCTTTCCAAAGAAAGTTGCGCCGTTGCTGCTGGCTGTTAAATGGAGGCTGTGCCTTACCCCAGAGGTGGCTGCATCTCAGCACTGGGGTTCAGATCCCGATCTAGCATCGTGGTGCAGCTGTCCCCAAAATGCCCAAAGCAGAGATCGCTGCATTTCATCATGGGGGAGAGCAATTGTTGGGCGTTGTCACCCGTGCAGCTGTTCCCTTCCCACCCCGCCCCCGAGGCAGCCGCATCACAGCACCGACGGGTGATCCCCATGCAGCATTGATGTGCAGCTGTGACCCAGTCACCCCACCCTGGAAGACCAGGGTGGGGGACCCACTTGAAACACTGATCGCTAGACTCCGAAAAGCTCACAGAAGCCGAGCGTAGGCCTCCAACCTCCCCCTGAACGGGACGGAGCCTCGTGGACGTCTGCATGTGTGGCAGGAGGGGGGCATGCTGAGCAGCCTGGGCTGAACAGAAGCCACCTGCGCTGTGATGATATCTGCATTCCTAGAGCGCCCGCTCACTGCTCAGGCCTGCACTGGGCTGGGAGCCATCCAAACTCAGAACACAGAGACGCTCCTTGTTTTGAGAGGCGCTTGGGCCAAGCTTTCCACAAGCAGCCTCTGACGGTAGCCTTGCCTCATGTGTCTGGCTCCTAGCACTTAGGGTCCACTTCCCAGATTGTCAGGGCAGACGGGATGCTTGAGAGCGACCTCCGGGGTAAGCCAGGCCCCAAAACAGCCTTGGATCAGTCCCAAGTTGAACCAGAGCAGCTGGGAAAACGCCTGCCCCTCTCCTCCTTCCCTCCCCCCCGTCCCCTGCATTCTTGGGTTCTATAGCTCCAGAGAACCCAGCGCAGCCCAGCAGTTAAGTCCCCTCTTTATTTCTAGTCTGAATCTTCCAGCCCTCTCTCAAACTGGGGGGCGCAACCCAAAAGTGGGTCCCCAGGTGGGTGGTCACCCAAGAGAAATTCAAATGCTGCCCAGCTGATTAGCAGAGGGCTCACAGGTGGGTTTTGTGTTTCTACTGGTGGTGCGCATCCGCCCGTGCCTTGGTGTGCATAGCAAAATTTATTCTGCACGGGAATGGAAAAATCTGCCCAGGAAGGGAAAAGATTAGAAGGGACACTGTAGGGTAATTGCGATCGTAGGGTTGTCAGACGCCCGGATTTTTCCAGGCACGATCTGTTTTTGGTCCTTCGAGCTCCGTCTGGGAGGCTTTTTGAAATACGAACAAAAGATCGGGATTCTCTCTTGTGCATTCTTTTTCCTTCTCATCAGAGCTGGGCTTCCAGCCAGCAGCTGTTCCTCCCCAACCACCCAGCTATGAATGGAGTGCCGCCCCCAGCAGCAGCGCAGAAGGAAGGCTGGCATAGCACAGTTATTTAATTCGGTAGGGTGAAGGACACGGGGCACAGGCCCTGTGACTGCCCCATCCTGATGTGACTCTGCCCCATGCCACCCCTATAGCAAGGGAGGCCGGGGACAACCCCCCACCCAACTCTAGATCTTGCCTCTTCCCCTACCCGGGAGACCGGGGAAGGTCTGGCACTGGCAGCAGGGGTCATCCCCCCAGCACTCATCAGCAGCAGTGGGGGCTGGGGAAGCGGAGCAACATGGCCCCACCTTGCTCCCCTCCCCCCCGCCAGTGAGTGCAGGGGGTGGTCCTGTTCCTCCCACAAGCGATGCACCGGGCCGCCAGGGGAAGCAAAGCCGCACTGCTCTATGGTGGTGGCAAGCCTCTGCTACAGGCACTAGTCCCCCACCCTAGTTCCCCGGCCCACCCATTAGGCTCTGGCCCCAACAACTGTCTGACCCCTTGTCCTTCCCTGCCACCCAGGGCCCACCTCTCACATCAGAGGTCCTGAAAGTCAGGTCTGGTACCGGGACGGGGGTCATCACAGCGATAAATATTTTTAAAGGGGGGGGAGGGGGAAGGAAAAAATTTGAAAAACTCCTGTGCTAGACTCAACCCTCCCCACCCAACTATCCAATTTCTCTTCCTCGTGCAGTGACTGCTAAACTGTGATCAACTAGGGGGCCAGATGTCCTGTGATTAGGGGCTCGGTCTTATATGGGCAACCCGCCCCTCCCCCCAGAAAAAAAGCATGTCCTGATTTTTCACATGTGCCCTCTGTGCAAACTAGGATCAAGTCACCCTTTCAATTTCTCGCTGCTCAGCTAAACTGGTTTGACCACAGGAGCCAGTCGCCCCTGTGCTCCTGGAAGTGACCAAACAGCAAATACAGGAGAATGGACTCTCTGAAGGGAGGAAGTGGGGTGGAGTACCCTAGAGGATACAGCATCTGGAGCACAGGGTGGTGGTCTGGAGTTCCCCCCTACCCCCACGCCACCCACCAAAGTAGCAGCCTGGCAGACAACATCAATTTCCCTAGGGGGTGGAGCTGGCTCCCATATTAGGAAGGCAGGGACCCTCTGAAGGTAGGGAAGTGGGGTGAGTTCTTGAGTAGGGGATAGGGCATTGTGGGGGGAGGATCAGCACCTCTGAGAGCCAGACCGTGGAGGGGCTGGTAATCAGGCCTATTGGAATGAGGGCCTGTGGGTGTAAGGGGGCGGGAGATGGTGGGAGACAAAAATCTCTCTGGGATTCACGTGGGCGGGGTTGTGAAAACACAAGAGAGTGGAAATCACATGACAGGGATCAAGTTGTGCAGCTACGGAGGCTGCATTGTAGTGCACGGCAGAATGGGAATGACGGGGGCAAGGAGAAATTCTCCCCCCAGGTGCCTCAGTGCGGGGGGCAGGGCGAGGGCTCCGTAGGAGGCGCTCTGCTCTCACAGTGAGCGCTGACCCATAGCAAGCAGTGTCCTTTCAAGGCCCTGATCACGCTTGTTCAGATACCCTCTCCTCACTCATCTCATCCCAGTCCATCTTCCATGAGCTTCCCTAGATTTTTGAAGGTGTAAGTGAAGAAAAAATGCTTCGCCGGCTGTCCCGAACAGCTGCAAGACACTGTCATCTTGACCTCTGGCTCTTGTTTGGGCATAGCTATGAAACAGCTGCTATGCCCCACCCCCGCAGTGCTGTGTCACTGCGCCGCTGTTATCCAATTGCCCCACCCCAGAAGCGGCTGCATTGCAGGACTAGAGCAAGGATCCCTGTGAGAAGCTTGCTGCCCGGTTGGTAAGGCGCGGCCGCACTCCTCCCTAGAGGAGGCTGCGTTATGGCTGTGGCCGAAACAGCGCTGGCACGATCTAGAACGCATCGAGCTGTGTCTTGCTATGCTCAAGGAGGCCCAGAAGCAGTGGTAGAAAAGCCGGCAGGATGGGGTGAGATCAGGCAAGATTCTGGGGTTCATGGGGGCAGGCGTCTGTGTGCGGCTCAGAGGGAGATGCAGGGGAGGAGACTGAAGCGATGCCACTTCATGAGAACGCCACCCCTCCCGGGTGGCCCAGCAGCAGGGGGCCCAGGAACCCCAGGCAAGGGGGGTCTAGACCTGCTAAGGATGTCCAAGCTCTCTGGGTGAGACAGACCCGAGAATGGGGCGGGAAAAGAGCAAAGTTAAGTTCCAGGGGCATTCAGCGACACTGGCCCCCCATCCTCCACAGCAGCTCTGGGACAATCATCCACGGGAGGTGATGAAGGCAGCACAAAGGGTTACATCCCACTGCTGCCAGATGATGTGAATGAAGTTGGAGTGAACTTGTGGAACTCACTGACACAGGATAGCGCTGAGGCCTGGAGCTTAGCAGGATTCAAATGCAGGTACGGTAGCCTAATGGTTGGAGCTGTGGGCCAGGACACAGGAGTCTATTCCCAGCACCGTCTGGCCTGCTGGGTGAGTCACTTTGCTACTTGGTGCCTCGGTTTCCCCTCCTGCTTTTTGTCCAGTTGAGAAGCAGGGTACAGCTGAGATCCTGTTCCTTCCCACCAAGCCTAGCCCTTTCTGGGGAGACTATAACATCCAGAAAGCACCTGGCCTTAAAGGGGCCACACTCCAATTAGTGTTTCCTTTTGCTGGTCACCCTGGCTAGGGGGCTGGGAAGGAGGTGAAGACCACCTCCCCCATTGGCTTTAGGCCTCAAACCCCACAGGGCAGTGGAGAGGCAGGACCCACCCGTTAGAGAGCAGGACGGAGTGGGGCTATTATTGCTCCAACTGGGGGGGTGCTGTCCCATAGGGTTCTCTGCTTGCTACCAAGATTTGTGACTTAGCCCAGGGGCAGGCAATTTTTTGAAGTTTCAGAAGTTTTTGAAGTGGCCCCAGGCTGCTGCGGTGGGGGAGCACGTGAAGTCTTTGTCCCGCCCCCCAGAGAACCACCAGCTCTTCTGAACAGCTGGCAGTTCCCTCTAGGTGCCTGTGCTCCTGCTGGTGGGAGGAGACTCCACATGCTCCCCGCATCCCCCCAGCCAATCAGGGCTTGGGGGCAGGGGAGTGCGCAAAGTCTCCTCCCAACCTGAAAGAAGCATGCGGCACTTAGAAGCGCCACACCCCTGGCAGGATGGGAGGAGACTCTCACGCTCCTGCCCCACCCCCACCCCCAAACCGTGATTGGCCTTGGGGCGGGGGGGAGTGTGAAGTCTCTCGCCCTCGGGCACGTGGTCCTGGGGAGCGGCAGGGCCTGGATCAACCCACTTGATAGGCCAGATCCGACCCATGGAGGCCCCTTTGCCCACCTCTGGCGTAGCCCCTGGCTCAAACGCCAGGGCTCTGGGGAAGCCCTGCCTGAGTGAAGGGGGTGGCAAGGCTGTCCCTGAGCAGAGTGCAGGTTGTGTGGCAAGGGAGTGCCCCCTGCTGACGGAGGGGGAAGCCGCCCATGGCCAAGCCAGGCCACTCACCATGCTGGTCGGCAAAGAAGCCCTCGAAGATCACAAAGTTGTTCACCTGGGAGAGGCAAAGGCCACGGACAGTGAGAAATTCCTGCCCGTGACTCCTCCCGCCTGCACTTCCCCCACCCGGCACCAACCACCCCACACCTCCCAGCAATAGCCCCGTCCATCTCCTCCACGGCACCAACTGCCCCCACCCCTGTCCCCAGCACCAGTCTCCCCCATCCCATCAGCCTCCACCCCAATGCCCCCCTGCCTGCTGGTGTCCCGCCCCCCTGCCTCGATACTGCCATCACCCCCTCCTCTCACCAGTCTCCCCCTTGCCCTACCCAGGCAGGCTCAGGCCCCTGCTGCTCCAGGAGAGATGTGGCATGAAGCCACGTCTAAGCCCACAAGCAGGGCAGCTAAGAGCCCTCCAATGGGGTGAGAGCCTTCTCCTCCGCAGCTCTCTGGCATGGCCGAGAAAGCAGGCGCAGCTGCTAAACCACCCAGGATGTGCCCCCTGCCGCCACCTGGGTGCAATGAGAGATTCCCCCCCCCCCCCCCGGATGATGGCCAGAGGGCCCAACTCACCTGGGGGATGGTCCCCTGGAGGTTGTAGTGTTTGCAGAGGAAGCAGAGGAGTTTCTCCGAGGGGCGGTCCACGGCCAGCTGGTGTGGCTGCACTCGCTCGCGCTGAGAGCCGGGGACGGGGGAAAGACACAGCCGGGGATTAGTCAAGACAAAGGGTCAAGATTAAACCCACCCACAGTGCAAGCAACACGTTCAGCGATGAGGCTTGGTTGGCTCAGGTGGCTGAGGAATGGGACATGGTTCCTACCAAGGGGCTCTGATCTGGTCCCAGGTTGGGGACTGCCTGGCTCAGGAGGATGGGGAATGGGACATGGGTGTTTTCCTCTCTAGAAAGGTTCCCTCTGACCTTATCCCGGGGTGGGGAACTGGCTGATATGGGGAGAGATGGGACACAGACCTTCTCCCTCCAGGGGGGACCGATTCCTCTGCAGCCCAGCAGCTTCAGGTCACTCCTATCTGTTGGCTCACCTGTGAAAGGAGTTGGGGAACCCCCAGACAGAACCCCTACTTCCCAGCAGCCTCAGGCAGGCCAGGGCCCAGTCCCAAACTCATGACCCCAGACCAAACCAGTGGTCTGGGATCCAGGCTCAGACAGACCAGTTGGATCTCCCAAAGTCCAGATGACTCAACGGGGGCAGCGGGTGTGACAGTCAGGATCCAGACAGCCCAAGGGGAAACCAGGGGGGTTGAACTCCCCGGAAGAAGTGACGCAATCAACGTGTTGTGGCTGTGACTGGGTATCAATATATGCCAAGGATGGTCTTTTATGAAAGCTGGTAATGACCTAAAACTTGGGTGACCAGGAGATCCAAGTACAGGCTCTGGAGAAGACTGTAGGCACTTGTGTGTGTAGAATATTGTGAGAAGGGTGTAACTACAGCATCACCTCTGGACAGGGGAGGGAGGGGAAGCAATCAGGCTGGGAGGGGCACTGAGCATTGGCCAGCTGAGCGAGAGAACATGGAGCACCTCTGCAAATAAGTGAAAAGACTGAGAGGAGACAGGGTAACAGCTTTCAAGGATGCATGAAGTTGTTACGAGGAGGAAGGAGGAAAAAAAAGTCTTCTCTCTAACCTCTGAGGATAAGACAAGAAACAACAGGCTGAAAATGCAGCAACGGAGGCTTCCATTGGACAGTAGGAAAAACTGATTATCCCAGTGCTTAAACACCCTGACAAATTGCCGAGGGAGGTTGTGGAATCTCCATCACTGGAGATTTTTAAGAGCAGGTTGGACAGACCCCTGTCAGGGATGGTCTAGATCCGTGGTGTCCAACCAGTTCTGAAGCAACAGCCACCATCGTGGCTATTGCTATAGCAACCCAGCCACAGAATTCTGAAAAGGTAAATAATTTTGTGAGCCAACTGGCCACACTCAACGGGCCAAATAGCCACATGTGGCTAGGTTGTTGGACACCATGGGTCTAGACAGTGCTTGGTCCTGCCGTGAGGGCAGGGGACTGGACTTGATGACCGCTGGAGGGCCCTTCAAGTTCTAGTGTTCTAGGAAAGACACTGACATTGACAAGAAAGTCCCAGCCACAGAGAATAACTAGCACTAGGAAAGGGAATCTGACTGACAGAGAAGGGCAAAGCCTGGCTTTTTCCCCAGAGCTTGTCCGAATTGGCTTTTCCTCGCTATTTCTCCTTGGGTTTTGTGATTCCTCTATTAAATCCTTCTTTTATTTTAGCACAAGAACTAGGGGGTCATGACATTAAATGACTAGGCAGCAGGTTTGAAACAAACAAAAGGAACTATTGCCACACGGTCAACCTGTGGAACTCCTCGCCAGAGGATGTTGTGAAGACCAAGACTATAACAGGGTTCAAACAAGAGCTAGCTAAGTTGAAGGAAGATAGGTCCATCAATGGCTATTAGACAGGATGGTGTCCCTAACCTCTATTTGCCAGAAAATGGGAACGGGCAAGACGGGATGGATCATTTGATGATTGCTGGTTCTGTTCATTCCCTCTGAAGCACCTGGCATTGGTCATTGTCAGAAGCCTGGATACTGGACTCTCTGTTCATTCCCTCTGAAGCACCTGGCATTGGTCACCGTCGGAAGCCTGGATACTGGCCTGACCCAGTGTGGCTGCTCTTACGGTCTTCTCTCCCCCCCAAACCGGCCTCTGGGGTGCAGACCATGTGAAGCGAGTGCACCAAAGAGAACCTACCCCAGTGATTAGTTATCACCCCATTCAGGGGGAAGGAATCAGAGGGAAAAGGTCTGAGTGAAGGGTAATTCAGAATTAAGGGAGACACATGGTGGGGGGATGACTAGAGATAGTAGGGCCCCTCTGCCAGGAATAATTAGGTGGGTGGAAGCCAGGGTGAGACCTTTATGCCAGGACTCGGAGCTCTGAGCCATAGCAAGAGGGCGCGGAGGCACCTGAATTTATAAGGCAGGTGGTGCCAACCCACCTTATGGATTCCCAAGCCTTCCCACTGTGGCAGGGAGGCGGGAAAGGAATCCGAGGGCCCCCTCCTAGCCAGAGCAATTCCCCTGGGTCAACGCCAGGCCAGGGTTCTCACCTGCAGCATGTACTGGAAAAGCTCCTTCCCATAGCCGTGCCTCTGCAGTGACTCATGGATATAGAAGTCCAACACGCACAGCGGCTCCACTTCGTTGTGAGCCCCGTGGCGATCCTGGGGCGGGGAAGAGTACAGGGACAGCTGAGTAACGAGCAGAGCGGGGGGACCCAGAATAGGTGACCTGCCCCAACAGGTCAGAGAACCCAGGAGTCCCTGGCTTCTGGAGTCCCTTACTTTAACTCACTAGACTAGGCTCCACACCCTCCCCAGAACCAGGACCCTAACGTACAGGGACAGAAGGAGCCATGGACAGCCAGGGTCCCATCTACTCTACCAATATCTATGGTATCAGGAATACAGAGGGGGAAGGAATGAGGATTTGTGGAACTCACTGCTGCAGGATATTACCCTGTCAAAAATTCCCAGCCACCCCCTCTCTAATCCATTAGACCACTCCCCTCCCAGAGCAAGGAAGAGAACCCAGGAGTCCTGAGTGGAGCTTCTTCTATCGAGGTTTTCCCCCTGGTACTGAAAATGATCCAAGTAACAAGGATCCCAATGTGACTGGAACACAAAAAGCCCCTTAGTATAAATACTGGGGTCAGCACAGACAGTGAGGGGAGAGCGCCCCCTACTGAGCCCCCTGCCCCATTCCCTGCAGCACAGCGCCCCCTAATGCCACACAGGAACATTGGGTCAGCACTAACTGGGGAACGTGCCCCCTATTAGGTTTCCCGTTCAGAGCAACTAACCAGCAGGAAGAGCTTCTTGTAGCCAACCTTGAGGAAGCCGATTATGGCCCCTTTCCCAGCCCTGCAATAGGGGAGGAAAAGAGGTGGCATTAGCAAAGGGGCCAAGTTGGAACAGAGGAGACACACACTGATGGGATGCCTAGACTGTCCTGTAGATGCCAGGGTCCCATCTACTCTACCGATATCTATGGTATGGGGAATATAGAGGGGGAGGGAACGAGGACCTGTGGAACTCTCTGCTGCAGGACATGACCCTTTCAAAAAACGAATGCGGCACATAGGGGAGCAGATATTGGTGTGGATATGGTGCACCCAGCCCTCACACTTCAGAAAGGAGCTGATGCCCACCTGAGAAAGGGGTGGGGGAAGTTCACGAAGGAACATCATGCAAGAGTATTGCCCAATAGGGTGCATTCCTGGGAAGTTCATACCTTTCTCGGGAACACCCAGCACTGGCTGCTGCGAGCGGCAGCGCCAAAGGGTTTGTTGCGCTGATCAGGATACTGGGCTAGATGTGCCCATGGGGTCTGATCCAAGGAGGCGGGATACCAAGCTAGATGGGCTCACATGCAGGGCCTCATGCTGGGGGTTGTCCACAGGGACGTTTGTGGAACCAAACCCGGGTGACTGGAAACTCACGTCTTCACTTCATTGTCCTTCAGGATGTAGAGAACGTGGTGGTTTGTCTGCATCCGAGAGGCGCTGGTGATTGGAGCCGGCAGGTTCTGCGCCTAGAAACAGAGGTGTAGAGTGAGATAGGGTAGAGGGGAGGAGAGTGCCCTAGATCAGAACCAGTGCTTCCTGGCTCCCAAGCCAGCCTGTATCCTGCCCTGGGGCCCATTGGAGTCAGCACCCCCTAAAGAGTAAAGTTCCATTCCCCACCCTCAGCTCACACACTTTCTAGTTTCCTGATGACCTTCACCTTCAAACAACAAGAGAGGAATGAGGGTGGGGTAAACAAGGGGGGAGCTCATATCTGGCTGATCCGGGTACCCCAAAATCCCCCCACCCCGAGTCTGATCCCATCCCGTGTCCCATGAACCCCTCGGTTTCCAAACCCCTACCTTACCTTGGCCGAGGCCTTGCCCATCTGGTCTATGATAGTCATGAGCTGCTGCTGCAGATCCACCCTTTGCAGAGGAGGACAGAGAGCAAAGGAGATAGGATGGAGTAATGCCCAGAAAAAAGTGCCCAATCTTTGCAGAGGGAAAGGGGCCTGAGCCCCTAAGGGTCACGGGGGGAGGGGCGGGGTATAGCAGGAAATCAGGCTGTGTCTGAGTAGCATTCACATGGAAAAACAGCAGAGGACAATACCCTATGGTTCCCCAGCTACCACTTAACCACTACCCCCACGCCTCCCAGAACTGCAACAGAACCCAGGAACTCTGGGGCCCAGCCCTGCTCCCAACCCCCAGGACCCCATGCCCCTCCCAGAGCAGGGGTTACAACCCAGCGGGCTGTAATGCCCCAGGCTCCTGCTCTCCCAACCAGCCTACCCCACCGTCCTTTAACATAAAACCACCATGTGAGCCACAACAGAAGAGCCTGGGGGGATCAGGAGAGACTCTCACAACCCGCTGTGCTCTGGCACAATCCCTTAGGCAACCGAGCCATGAAGCAGCAGCAGCAGAGCGGAAAGATTTAATCGGCTGCATGTCAGTGACAGTCTCTCCCCAGCTCCACCACCGGGAGAGCTGCCTACCAATGCCCGAAGGGAAGAGGATTCTTTAGGGGACGGAATGGGGAGTTAGAAGGGATGTGGGGCCTTCCAGCTGAGGGTCAGGGCCCATCTCCTAGCACTGGGGCAGATCTTTGCGCCTATGCCAGTCTCATTGCAAGGGAGGAGGCAGGAGTCGGAGCGCTAGCGAGATTTTGATGGAGGTCTGAACAAAGAAAGGCCTAGTGAATGGGATCAAAGCTGCCGGGCCCTTGTCTGGGGCTGGAGTTGATAGGATCCAACCGAGTTTTGCCTTCTGCTGAAATCTGTTACTCCTGTCCATGTCATTACAACTAAACATCAGGCTGTGCTCTAGCCCACTAGACTCCACTCCCCACCCAGAGCAGGGGCTAAAACTCAGGGAGTCCTGAACCCCAGCTCCCCCCTTTCGCTCTAACCCACTGGACCGTACTCCCCTCCCAGAGCTGGGAATGGAACCCAGGAATGCTCACATAGACTGGCTGAATGGGTGTTTCTCCACCCTGCACTAAGAGGAGCCAGGCTCTTTCATAGGCAGGGCTACATCGCTCCAGGGACTCTGTGGCACAGATCCAGGGCACTGCTGTGAGGGGAAGGTCACCCAGAGATGTAAGGCCTGTGAATCACTAGGAGAACTATATCAGAGGAGTTGCTGTGTTAGTCTGAATCTGAATGAACAACAAGAAGTCTCGTGGCCCCTTATGGACTAGCACAAGCTTTCGTGGGCAAAGACCCACTTCGTCAGATGCAACGTTCTCCAATCTATAGGAGAATTATAGGTTGTATTTTACAATATATGGGGTTCTGGCCCTTCCTCTACCTTCGCCCCATCAATCAGAGGTAAGCAAAACACTCCAGAGGCCATTTAAACAAGTGGCTTAATGAGAAATCAGTGGCAATTACCCAGCACACTTCACGTGTGGAATAAATTCCATCCATGTGTGAAATAAATTTTGTTCAGTGCACTGAGGCACATGTGGACGTGCACCATCAGCAGAAACACATGCTGCTGGCTGTGGGTGCTCTGCTATTCAGCAGGGTGTTATATGAATCTCTCCTAGATGGCTGCTCAAACGCTCAGCTTACAGGGAATACAAGTAGAGGGTAACAGATTATACCAAGCACAAGTGGTGGAATTTACCCAACATGCCACAGGCTAGGTGCAAAGGGAGCAGCCATTACCAAGTGGGCAATAGCTGCCCATGCGATTGGCTATCACACCCCAAGATATGGGGGATACTAGCTATCCCTGAGGGCAAGGACGAGGTACCTCATGGTATTACCCATCATGCCTTGGAGGCTGGGTGACATAAAGAAATAACTTTGCCTTCGACACCCCCAAAACACCACTGGAGAAGGCTCCAGAGATTCCGAAGGACCAAGGCTTTTCAAAACAACTCCCTCTTGGCGGCGTCCTCAACTTACACTCTGGAGAGCTCCAAATCCTGCGAAAGCCAGCCTGGCAAAGCATGGGGACAGGCTGAGCAAGGCAAAGCTAAAGACTGCCGCCAAATGTGAACGTGGAAAATTCCAAGCCAAACCCCCACCTGCTGCCCAGCACAGGGCCCCTGTCCACATCCCTACTCCACTAGTCAAGGGAAGGCACAAGCCATGGTCCAGCTGCCATTTTGTAGTGATATGAGGAGGAAGATTCCCTGGAAGAGGGGTGATGGGCATCCCTGCCCTACCGCTCACAGGGGTACTACTTATCATACATGGAAGCAGGAGCAACGGACACCTGCTTCCCACCCTCCACTGAAGAAAGAGAACATAAAAGCGGTCACACTAGGTCAGACCAAAGGTCCATCCAGCCCAGTGTCCTGTTTCCGACAAGTGGCCAGTGCCAGATGCCCCAGAGGGAATGAACAGAACAGGGAATCCTCACATGATCCATACCATTGCCTGTTCCCAGCTTCTGGCAAATAGAGGCTAGGGACACCATCCTGGCTAACAGCCATTGACAAACTTATCCAGCTTTTCTTTGAACCCTGTTATAGTCCCAGTCTTTACAACATCCTCTGGCAAGGAGTTCCACAGGTGGACTGTGTGTTCCATGAAGAAACATGGCACACACATGGTTTTTGTTTGTTTTATACCTGGCACCTATTCATTCCATTTGGTGACCCCTAGTTCTTGTGTTAGGGAAGTAGTAAACAACACATCCTTATTTACCAGCTCCACACCAGTCATGACTTTATAGACTTCGATCACACACCCCCTTTAGTTCTCTTTTCCAACCAGAAAAGCCCCAGTTGATTCTCTTTTCACATAGAAACTGTTCCATACCTGTTATACCCGGGGGCAGGCCTGCTGGGCACCCCCTACCCACTGCAGCAGGACTGGTGGGCACCCATTAGCTAGGCATCTCCCTATTACAAGTCATGCACGGGGACAAAGGTGATAGGCACCCATCACCTATTATGCTTTGGGGGCAGGGATCCCCCATTACCCTTAGTGCCCTGGGCAGAGGTAATGGGCTCCTTGTTACCCCTGGTGCCGGGACCCCCCCATTACTCATGGTGCCCTGGGACAGGGACCCCCCCGTTCCCCAGGGTGCCGACCCCCCCATTACCCAGGGTGCCCCGGGGCAGGGACCCCCCCCCATTACCCAGGGTCCTGACGCCCCGGGGCAGGGGCCCCCCCAATACCCCGGGTGCCGGCG